GCCAGTAAACAGACGCAGAGCAGTATCATTACATAGGCAGGACAGGGGGAGGACAATAAATCCTTTTGCTTAACTGACTGCTTGCAATGTAAAGCAGGATGTATTTTTTAAAAAGCTGAAATGCTGACTAAAGGTAAACATTTCATGTCTTTTTTAAATATAAAAATAGTTGAATAAAATATGCTCATGGACCTGCTTAATAGTTTGAAGTCAGTTCAGCTTCTTGATTACTCCAGTAGGATACAAGGCAGTGTGTTATTATTGACATTTTTACAGCATTTTGTTGGACCAGTATCCACACAGTAATGCAGACACACAACTTCTACCTTAAATATTTCTCTGTTATTCTCAGATTATCTGAAATTACAGACACATTTACACCTCAGATCTAATTTTAAATAAGAGAACTTCATCTTGTGTGATGGGTTGCTCAACTCTTTTTCAAGTACACAATACTCCCACAAGGCTGAGAACTCAGTTTATCAAGAAAATCTTGGAACAGTTATTTTAAGGTAACTTCAAATTTTCTTCTTTTAGAGTTTATTGTTTTTGAAAAGCTTGATTAATTTTAATTATATTAACAGAAACAGCTTTTAAATTAAAATTCTGTATTTGGGGGGGGCATTTATTTTCAATCAGAGTTTTGAGATTTTATATACTCCTACGTACCTGCTTCTTTTTTTTTTATGACTGAATTACACAGAGGGCAACATGATTTACAAATTAAGCATTAGTAATATTGTTTTAAAATACCACTAAAGGTATGTGGAATGAATGCAATAAACCTGTTAAATCATATTATCAAAACAATGGAAAATAATTTGTGAGAAATGCAAAAGAGCTGAAACTAAACTGCGCTAAGAAGTATCAGTCATACAGAAACACAACCTTCGTTAAAATGAAAAAGAATAAATTTTATGCCTGTGAATAACCCCTCATGTTAAAGCAATTATGCTGTAGGTGAAAATCTGAATTAACAGTATGGATTTGACACTCTTGAGTAGATCCGGCCATATGCTGGCATGAAAGAGCCAAGATTCTGTATGTGTGTGATCAGTACAAATGTATATTCCTTGGATAATTGCTCTTATTTAGTTCTGACAAGCTGGTAAGTACAAAAGCTTTAAAAACTGTGCTTTACTATTTTTGTGTATAACTGTATATGGTGGGTAGGTGTATGTTCCAGGGAAGTTGCTCCATCTCCAGTAATCTGACAAGTCCAGCATTCAGGAACTTTTAGTTTTGCTGAACTTTCTTTCTGCGCAACCAAAAGTGACACTGTCAGAACTATGCCATCCCTACTGCAGGAATTAGCACCGTGGCAATCCAGACAGCGTGACCCAAAAAGCATTGGAAACTCCACTTTGGGGGTGAAAACTGAAATCCAGGCTACAGCTCCAAACCAAGAGCTGACCTACACTACTGCTAAGTGAACACAACCCATGGCTAACCTTTTACACCAACACAGCATCTGATGATTACTGTTTTGTGGATTTTGTTTAAGGTAACAAAGACCCATTTCAGGACCAACGTTCTTAACCTAGAGCTTAATGTTTCTCGGCCCTGACACCAAGGAGCGTCAGCTGTGGGGAGGCCTCAACCAGCTGCACGGCGACAACCCGGGAGACCCGGGTGGCCCCTGCCCCGCTCCCCCGGTCACCGCG